ATTTTTGTTGATTTCAGAGAGGGGGAGAGAGAAAGAGAAACATCAATGATGAGAAAGAATCATTAATTGGATGCCTCCTGCACGCCCCCCAATGGGGACTGAGCCCGCAACCCGGGCAGGTGCCCTTAACCAGAATCGAACCCGGGACCCTTCAGTCCCCAGGCCAACGCTCTATCCACTGAGCCAAACCAGCTAGGGCTATCATGTGTCTTTCTAAATGGTTACCAGGGTATCATGAAGGACAAAGACCCTGATGTCAAATAAATTCTACCCTGCAAATCCTGTCTCTGCTGTTCTGGGGCCAGTTACACGGGAGGAGGATTCTGGGGCGCCTATGTTTCCAGCAAGACCCTTTCCCAGCTGCAGGATCGTGTGGGCTCATCTGGGCGTTCAGAACAACCCTGAAGGGAGTGGGCTTCGCAGGTTCAACCTGGCTGGGCTGCTCAGGACTCTCTCAGAGGACTGAGGCAACATTCTCCATTACTACGCATAGGGAAAGCCAGTCCATCACGTATAAGCAAAAGGCTAATCATTCTCAGGGTTACAAAGAAGAACATGACACTATGTTCTTCACTTATAGCTATTTGGTCAAAGGCATGAGGTAAGTTTATTTATTTTTATTTCCCTCATTACCAAGCAGAGCTTTGTAACTAATAACATACTCAATAAATATTTGTTGATTTAATGAATTAAGAGAAACTGATGACGTACATGCCCTCTAGAAGTTTGATTTGGCTGTAAGAATGAGTCATTTAGAGGCGTAAGTGCAGAGGCTTGAGGCACTGGTTTTGAAGTCAGAAAGTCCCCAATTCAAGTTGCAGCCACACTAACGCCAGTTCCTTCATCTTGAAAATGGAGCTGATAAAATTTGCCTCAGAGGGTTGTGTGTTAGAGTTATCTAACACGTATCTCATTTATGACTTACTAGGTATACCGGTTAATAATGCGGATTTTTTTTCAATAGATGGAGTTATACATATGTTGATATATATGCGAGTTAATATGTATGCTATTTTGTTGTATTGCTCCTTCAGATGACCACTTGTTCCAATCGATGGCACACGTACTTTCTGAGCAGCACTTCAAAACGTACGAAGAAGTGGAAAATTGGGTCTCTGAATGGTTTGCCTCAAAACAAGAAAAGTTATATTGGGACGGTATCCACAAATTCCCAGATTAACTCTTAACCAGTTAATAATGCGGATTAATTCACCAGTTAATAGTGCGGATTACCTCTTAATAGATTAATAATGAGGAGAGAGAATCATTGATTGGCTGTCTCCTGCATGTCCCCCACTGGGGCTCAAGCCCACAACGCAGGCATGTGCCCTGACCAGGAACCGAACAGTGACCTCCTGGTTCATAGGTTGACTCTCAACCACTGAGCCATGCCGGCCAGGCAACAATATACTTTTAAATGCTGACTGGATTACCTCTTAATAGATTAATAATGAGGAGTGAGAATCATTGATTGGCTGTCTCCTGCATGTCCCCCACTGGGGCTCAAGCCCACAACGCAGGCATGTGCCCTGACCAGGAACCGAACAGTGACCTCCTGGTTCATAGGTTGACTCTCAACCACTGAGCCATGCCGGCCAGGCAACAATATACTTTTAAATGCTGACGTTCTTTCTCCTCTTAGGATTTTCTGCATATTTATTAATGCAATTCCTACCTATGTCTATGACTTCTTAGCCCATATTACTAAAGCTACAGAAATATAAAGTATCTTCATAAACTTCTTGCACGATTTAAAAACTTCAATAGCTTGGGTAATTGATATAATAAAATTAAGCCTTTAAAAGCATACTTCTTAAACTACAAACAGCCACACTCATATGTATTTTCATACTTTCAAACCCTGTGACTAATGGAAATGGTTTTATGGATCTGAGGGAGTTAATTGTATTCTCTGCTTAGTCATCTTGAAGTTCATGTTTGCTAAAAGAAAAAAGTCATTGCATATCAGAAGGATCACAGATCAATTCTACTGTAACTATAATCTAATAAAGATTTAAAACGAAATGAACAGCCGGGTTGGTGTAGCTCAGGGTTGAGCATTGATCAATGATTCTCTCTCATCATTGTTGTTTCTATTTCTCTCCCCCTCTCCCTTCCTCTCTGAAATCAATAAAAATAAAACACACGAAATGAACATTATAAAGATCATGTATTACATTCATTAGTCAACTCTTGTATGTAGTCACTAGAATTTTTCTAAATGGATAATTGATAACCAAAATACATGAGACAAGAAAACAGAGCTTAAATATTGATTTTTTTTGTCAACTATCTTTCTTTAGGCCACAAATATCTGAATATGTGGTATTAAAGTGCCACAATTATAATTTTATTTTTAACATATATATGTTTTTAAATCCTCACTCAAGGATATTTCCCCATTGATTTTGAGAGAGAGTGGAAGAGAGAGGGTAAGAAAAACATCAATTGGTTGTCTCCTGCACGAGCCCTGAGGAGCCTGCAACCAAGGTTCGTGCCTTTGACCAGAATCGAACCTGGGACCCTTTGGTCCACAGGCCAAGGCTCTATCCACTGAGCCAAACTGGCTAGGGCCGCAATTATAGCTTTACCCATTGTATGCCATAAGCGCCTGTAAACGTAAGTGGTGGACCTTCCACACACGCCACGTGCATCTATAAAAAGAACAAACAATTTCCCCTAAGTGGCAGCCTTGACAAACTTTAAAAATTTTTCAGCTGAAAATATTCAAGAACACCCGAATTGTGAGTAATATATTTATTTTTATAATATTCATTGCAAATTGATTTTTTAAATTAAATTCAAAATATCGTGGCGTGTGAGGATGGTTTTCCTTTTGGACGCCTGGCAGTTAACTGGTTTTAAATGAACCTTTCTGAATCAATGGACCAGAAGGTGGTAACATGTATCTAAAGAACATGCTTGTTTTATGTTTGTATGTGTGCATATATGCAAATGTGTGCACTAAGTATACACACACTAAGACAGCAGACTAAGTGTGCACACATGAGTATGTGCATGTACACACACACACGTTTTAAAGAAACTTTGACTTTCACCAAAGCAGTTTCCCTTCAGCCAGTTTAATATATCTGGCAGACCTCTATAGAGTAAGTGATTAACAGGTATAGCACATCAGTTGACCTGAATTGTGAAAATGAAAGTATTACCAAGGTAATGGTTAAATAAGGCTGTGAATGAGAACAAAAAGTTCAAAATCTACCTAAAAATGTTTCTTTTGTCTATTTAAAAATAAAAGAAACCAGCTGTCTTTATTCTCCTCCTCAAGCCGTCTCTACTTAAACAATTGTGAGCCAGGGACTAAATAGATTTTTTATTTCCTGGAAGATAAAGTTTGGCTCCCAGACACCAAAGAAACAACTTGAAACTAAATAATGTTAAAAAATCCAAGTTGAACTCTTTGCTTGGGAAGCATATCTCTCCGGATCCTCTGAGAAGATCTGATGACCCCAGATGCCAGGATGGGTGTGCCGGCCTGATTGCTCAGGCGCTGCACAGGAACACAGAGCATCGCAGCCCTTCAGAATGAGGACTGGCCATCCCAGAAAGCACAGTCTGGGGTCAGGATGAAAACTAGAGCCCCACAGCCCTTAATGTGGTGACCAACCACTTCACAGAGAAAACAGACAGGAGACAGACCACTGAGCAAGACAGTGTGGATGTGGTGGCTTTGGTCAAAACCCACGGTGGGTTCTTACTAGTCACTGGTGTCACTGCTTGGATCGTCACTGTGGCTGTGAGGAAAATATTGACGTCCTAAATAGATGAAGATCTGCACTATCTGACAACATAAAAAACTGTCCCTGTGCCCCTGCACTTCTAAGCCATGGGCTCCCTCGCTTTCAAGAAGCAACAGAAAGAAGGATAAATCACAAGACTTTCTGCTTTTGAAACATTTCCTCTTTTATAAATTCTGTAAAACTAGGTCTATAAAATAAAATCACGGATAAAAGCAGCAAAATTAAGTAAACCAACTTATAACCAAGATATTTAAAGCAATTCAAACTATATTAAAAACTGTAATTGTATATTAATTTTGACTATTCTCTGTTCTTATTAAAATGAAAGGCAATCTGGAAATATCTGTACATATATACAGTGCATAATACACAAATACTGTGCATACATATGAAACCACACCCCTAATCATATAGACTAGCCACAAGAGGGCGCTTTAAGAATGGAAAGAGATCGCCAAAATTAATTCCTTCAGATGCTTATTTCAATAAGTATTGGGTACACATCTTCAAACTTTTAAAAAGAAACTTGTATTCCAAATTATTTTTCTATAGCCATAAGCTTATTTTAAGGGTACCTATCTATATCTTATATTCCAAATCTTAACTAGAGGGTCAATGCATCTAGTACTTGGTAAATGAGTCTTTATGTTATCAGACAGATTAAAATGATGGACAGTAAAACTGCCATCTTGTACAGAGGGTTTTATGAATGTGCTCAGAGCAATGTACAAGGCTTGGGAAAACTTTGCTATTAAAACAAAGAAACGAGGTTTCTTCCCATCATGACCACTTTAAGCTGCCATATTTCAGAACATTTTAAAGTCTGGTACACATGATAATGACTTGTACTTTACGTATGACAACAGTTCCATTTAATTACTATTAGAAGTGAAATGCCAGGATCTATACCTAGAGAGACTTCCTTGATCAGCTCAGCAGCAGCATGGCAACCCTGAACGAGTATCCTGGTCCAGGTCGACAGATCCCGATGTGTCTCCACCCTAAAGAGATAAACTGCTAAAAACCCCACACACAGTGAAGTACACATGTGGAAAAAAACAAGAGAAAAGTAATTTTCTTTAGGGTCATTAAACTATTCAACATTTTGTTTCATGGCAACCACTTAATACAGTTCAATTTATTCACTTCTTCCAAAAAATATTTCCTATAAGTTCTAAGTAGATCAGTATAAAAGTACATACTTCCTCACTTAGAAATCCAGCCGACAATGTTTTCCATACAGAATTTTTAAAAACTTGACTAAGAAATGTACAGCAAAGAGAGAAAAATGGCTTGTTGGCTTCATGGTAGGCTGTATACCTATAATATTTTCTACAAATATGTTGGTTCCTTCCTTCACTCCTCTAACAACCTGAGGAAGAACACATCTAAGAGCAAATGGGTGCTCCCTTACACTGCCCTTAGTTGTCAGGGAGTCACTATTGGTTCAGATAAAAGGCAAGAGTGCATTTCTTAAAGAAAAGGCAATTTCTTCTAATCCACCAACTGGTTTAACCAAGTTAATTACTATAGTTCTCAACCCTGGCTGTATACTAGAATCACCTGGTAAATAGCTTTTAAAAATGACTGATGCCTGGCTCACATCCTCAAAAATTCAGACTTAACTGGTCTAGGGTGTGGCCCAGGAAACTTTATTTTATTAAAATTTTTCCAGATGGTTCAAGTGTGAGGCTACAGTTGAGAAGCACTAAACTAGTGGCTTGCCAACATTTTTGTCTGAACACCCTTTCTATACTCTTAAAAACTACTGAGTACTCTAAAATGCTTTTGTTTACATTCTTATGTTTATTGATAATTAGAAATTAAAATGCTTTTGTTTGCATCCATTATATTTATTGATAATTAGAAATTAAAACTGAGCAATTTAAAAATATTAATTCATTTAAAAATAATAAACCTGTCACTTTTTAAAAAATTAATTTGTTTAAGGTATTACAAATAGTAGTACATGTCTCCTTTTTCCCCCATTGACATGTTAATATAAATAACTTATCTTTATTAAAATATCTTCCAAAACAAAAACATTTAATGAAGAGTGGCACTATTTTAATTTTTTACAAATTTTCTTATATCCAGCTTAATGAAAGGTAGTTGAATTCTCCTATCAGCTTCTGCATTCTGTTGCAGTATGCAGTTGAAGTATATGAAGAAACCCAGCCTCACACAGTATGCAGCTAGAAAAGGAAGTATTTTAATAGCCTTTGAGATATTTGTGGATATCCTGTCCACTGAACCAAACTCCAAGTGCTTTCTTTTTTTGAAAACATATTTTTATTGATTTCAGAGAGGAAGGGAGAGGGAGAGAGAGAGGGAGATAGAAACATTAATGATTAGAGAGAATCACTGATTGGCTGCCTCCTGTACACCCTCTACTGGAGATTGAGCCTGCAACCCGGGCACGTGCCCTTGACCAGAATCAAGCCTGGGACCCTTCAGTCCACAGGCTGACGTTCTATCCATTGAACCAAACCAACTAGGGCTTTTAAAAAATATTTTAAATCTATTTTTATTTATTTCAGAGAGGAAGGGGGAGGGAGATAGATAGAAACATCAATGATGATGGAGAATCATTCATTGGCTGCCTCCTGCACACCCCACACTGGGGATTGAACCTGCAATCTGGGCATGTACCCTGACTGGGAATTGAACCCTGACCTCCCGGTTCATAGGTTTACACTCAGTCACTGAGCAACTGCATCCAGGCATCAAGTGCTTTCTTAAAGGTCAGCTGCATTGTAGGATCTGAAACCTTACCAATGAAGTTAATATCCTGTTACATTAAAAATCCACTGGTTTCTCATGCATTTTGAATGGATCTTTTTTATATGCTTGCATGATTTTGTAACATCATTCATTGGTCACTTGGAAAATATTTTTTCACTGAGCTATGCAGATTTTCCAAATGTTTAAACCATCTCATTATACAATATCAAAAAGTGACATTTGCTAACACCTCACTTACAGATTGTTCAAGTATGAGGCTACAGTTGAGAAGCACTAAACTGAACTCTAAAATGCTTTTGTTTACATTCGTTATATTTAATGATAATTAGAAATTAAAATGCTTTTGTTTGCATCCATTATAGTTATTGATAATTACTGTTATATCATCAGAAAATTCTTTAGGTGCTGGAAAGCTGTCAACTCACAGGGACAGATACACGTTTTCCAGAATTCCAATTTTTGTTTG